TTTTTTTTTTTTTTTCATTTATCTCCTTGACTTGTATAGGATCTTAACTCATGCCGCCAAGCTCCTAACCATTCTTAAAGTTCATCTACAGAAGCAGGTGGTCAGTTCTATAACCCTGGTGTCTGGTGACAAATGCAGCTTATTGTGTGTCTATTTATTAGCAATTTGTCATCTTATGCCATTGATACTGTCAGATGAGCTATATCCATAGTTCTTGTCTTCTTGGACAACAGATCTGACGCAACGGGAATAGAAGGGGAAAGGTAAGGGTAGCTTTTGAGAAGTCGAGGACGTTTTAGTGATACCCTTTTGTTATATTGGGCATTCTCAATGAGCTAGAGATACATATTCAAGAAAAAATACGAATAAATCTCTTTCGACCCGACTTACATCAGATATTTATTTTTATTATATTATTATTTAGTGTGCTTTTCATGTAAATTTTATAATTTTTTAAATTTAAATTACATCTTAATTATCTCTAAATAGATTATATTTTATTAAGTTAATCTCATTAATTAGTATTAAAACTAATCTAAATGAATTTTTATATAGATGGAAGCAGCCACCAATACAGAGCAAGTAAAATATAGATCTTTGATCAGCTAAATGATGTCACCTTAAATTAATTAAGAGGAAAAACTCCCAATTAAACAAAACAGGAATAACAAGACACCCCGAGTTTTTATGTCAACTGGAACATGAGCAAAATAATTAGAGAGGCATTTCACCACTGTCGGCAATGACAACTTTGCTCTTGGGTGTGCCACTCTGCCTTCCTTCTGCTTCAATTTTGTAAACAACATCCATTCCAGAAAGTACCTTTCCAAATACAACATGTTTGCCATCCAACCTGTGGAAATTAGTCAATGATTAGAAGCAAACAAAAAGGTGATAACTGTATTATCTTATTGGTTGCAATTGTAGATTTGTAATTACCAGCTGGTTGTCACAGTTGTAATGAAAAATTGTGAACCATTGGTGTCTGGGCCAGCATTTGCCATTGACAAAAGCCCTATATGCAAAGAAATTTATGCTTGTCACAGAAATTCTGGGCCAGCATTTGTCATTCCTTACGGAAAGCTACATATAGCACTTGATAGAATGACATATGGCTTACCAGGTCCAGTGTGCTTCAGCTTGAAATTCTCATCAGCAAATTTCTCACCATAAATGGATTCTCCACCTCTTCCATCACCAAGTGTAAAGTCACCTCCTTGTATCATGAAGTTTGGAATAATCCTGTGAAATGCACTCCCTTTGTAATGGAGAGATTTCCCACTCTTTCCAACACCTTTCTCCCCTGCAATGTAAACCCAAACTTAGAAAGACCCTACTTTAAACAAAAGTAGCTAAGGAGCCATTCACAAATGGCTAGCCTTACTTCACTCTTGTTTCATTTTCATTTTCAAACAGCAAATGTTGCTAGTGGTTTTGCCTAGTCCTACAGCCATTACATCTTTATGCTTCTACAGGCTCTCCTGTTACCAGTTTAGGAAAATTTTACAGTAACAGAGGTCAATCAGGGAGATCACTTGCTTACCTGTACACAGTGCTCGGAAATTTTCTGCATATGAGAAAGTTTAAGCTGATTAGCAAATAATTGCAAGGAGAATTGCATAATATATGTATAAGCCATTAATGCAACCATAACACGATCATACCTGCTGTTTTGGGAACTGCCTTTCCAAAGAGTCCAATGACAATTCGACCTGAGAACAATAGTTACGTAATCTTTTAGCTCTCAACATTGAAAGCACAATTAGGTGGAAGGAGAAGTAACACATCAGTTCTACCCACAAAACCATATGAATGACTATATTAAATCTCTATCCGCACCTAGAACTAAAACCTCGTTTCTTCTTAAGATATCAGTTATTACAGGTATGATAGATCACTTCATACTCACAGAACCCTTCATATTTTCAACTTTGGAGGTCCATCCGTAGAAAGTCGTTTAAGCCACTATATTCCATGAAATTTTCACCAACTCTTAAAAAATAATAGCATAAAAGAAAGCGAAGAGGTATTCAGTTTTACAAAACAAATAGTATTTTAAAAGGAAAGGTGCTTTATCACATATCCAGCATTAAGTAAAAGGTGAAGCATACCAGCAGGTTTTCCTGCAATTTCAACATCAAAGTAAACTTTGTGAGTAACTTCCTTCAAATCTTCCTTGGACTTTTTTGCCTGAACATTCCACAAAACACATCAAACAATCAAATTCACTAATCCAATCTGATTATTATATTCGCCTATCTAATAACAATACAACTTAATGCTAACCAATTTCCATCAATCTTAAAATCAATTAACAAAGTGAATCAAAGTAAATGAAATTCAGTAAACAATTAAACAAGAAAAACAGAAGAAACCCATAAGATCTCAACAAAGGATAAAGCGATGTTCACATTTGATTCACTAATCAAGAGCCAAAAACAAACAGTTCACCTAAAACCCAGATTAAATAAAATGGGAAAAACCATGAACAAAAGTGAACCTGAGTGAGAGCTAGAGATCCAAAAAGGACCAAAGTGCAAAGCAAAGTAAGGGACAGCAACCTTGATCTCTCCATCTCTTCACTATTTTTTTGTCTTTGCGGAGTGATTAACGTGGAGATGGGAGCAGCAAAGAAGCATTATATATGGGGAATGATGTCACAGGTAAACCGATCAGCCAATGGTTGTGTGCCACGTGAATCGATAGGTATTTTGCTTGATTTTATTGGCTAGTGGATGTGGAGTTCTGTTACCTGGAAACTTTGGATTCTACACTGTTTTGTTTCTTTTGGGCCGTAAGTGGATTTGGTTTTCCGAGCTTTGATCGGATCCTATGGCAATGCCTTGGGCCATATGAATATTTGGTTCGTAATCCTATGGGCCGAATTTGATTAGACTTGGGCCCATTCGGGCTTGTATTGGGTGTTTTTGGACCAATTGCTATCCCCTTCGACAACGTCACATTAGATGACTTATTTGAATAAATAAATATTGAAAATTATACTTGTCTAGGTGGGATAGGTTTTAAATTTATAAATAAAGATATTTTTTTACTTAATAAATATTTTTTTGAAAAGAGATAATAATTTCGTGACAAATGATATTTAAACAAACTCAAATCTTTACAAATATTGAATCTTTATTAGTATGTGAAATCTTATAAAAGATATCCCAGATAAGACAGTGTTTTTTTTATACAAATAAAAGAGTTAGTGCAATAACACAGTTTTATAATGGAGTAAAATAAAATTTCTCATATCCCACTCAACAGGTATGATTGTGAGTTAAAAATATGAATCCATAACAACACGTGTTGGTGAATCCATCCAACCCAGAATTTGCCACGTCATGAGTAGACGATAACCTCGTATTAATATTCGGAAACCCAAGAATTCCTCAAAAGGTAACTTGAAGTGGTGCCTTTTAAGTTTCAACTAACTGTCACCCAACAACTACCATTCCCAGATCCCAGGAAACATGAAACAAACACACGCAGGACTGCTTGGTGACACCTCCTTTCTCTCAATCCTCAATGTCTGCTCCTTTCGAAATTTAAAGATTTGAGAAAGATTAAAAAGAGAGAGAGAGAGGGAAAAGAAGAGAATAAGGAAACCCCTTTTTGCTAACTTTGTTTCTTCATCTTTGCAACTACTCTGTTTCCATACCCTGTCTCAAAGTCTAAAACCTTTTTCTACCATGGAACATTCCCCAGAACATAGTCAACATGCACCTGGACCTTCTTCTGCTTTGACACTCACGAATCTTCCATCATCATCATCATCGTCTTCTTCTAGTTCAAGAGTCCATGAAGAAGGAGAAAATAATGGCCAAAGAAATGATGAAAACTTGCACCACCAAGAGCAGGAGCATGAGCAACAACGTTCTGGGGTATCTTATCACCTGAATATATCGATATCCAATGTGGCAAGGATTCATATAAGGGATGATGTTTGGTCTTGTTTGGTTGTGCTTGTCACATTTTGGTTTTTTGGTTAGTTTTCTTTCTCTATTCTTTGCTTATTTCTTCCAGTTTATTATAAAATGTTCTAGCAGTCTACTTTGTCTGTCGTTTGCTTAAGAACTAGATAAAACCCTGCAAATCCCTTCTCTCAAAAACTAAAAACAAAGAATTTGAGTGTTAATGGATCTTCTGAGTATTTAGTACCAAGTGGTGGATTGATTTGTTCATAAGATTAATGATATCTCTTTAATTTGTTTGTGGCTTTGTGTTTTCCAATATTTCTGTCCCAGCAGCATCCATGACTCTGATTCTGGGTTATTACGGATCTGTGACTTTAGAATTGGGTCCGAATGGCTCACGCCTTATACAAACTAACCCTTTCTTTGTTCAGTCTATCAAGGTGAATGTTGCTGCATATGTCTATTCACTCTCTCTTTCTCTCTCTTGATTCTGCTGTTGTCATTACTTTGAGCTAATCATGATTAGTCTGTCAACAGGTGAAAGAATTGATCAAGCAAAAACCTGGGCTAATGCTGTATGGATTTCACGGACCACCTCCCTCAGATGTTGAAATCTCCTGGACTGAAACACATGATGCATTTGTACCAGCAAATTTACATAAGGTAAATGTTTCTCCATATTCATAAGAACTTTTTTTTTTTGGTTTCATTTCGTACTTTCAACTGTCAAGTCATAAATAAGCATCAATTATGCAGCAGAGCTAGTTTAGAAGTTGCCATTAATGGTTTAGAATTTTATTTCTTTTCTTTTCTTTTCCAGGAGTGGCTATTCTTCTTAAACAAAGGGTCTAAAGTGAACATTTCATACGCTATGAGTTCCACCAGTTCCTCACCTTTATCCCTTGTCATTGCTCAAGGTGACACCTGCTTCTTTAGCAAAACCTTTGATACCAGATATGCATTGCTCAAATGTATTTATTGGAGTAAATTTCAATTAAACGTGCAGGTACACAAAGCCTTGTTGATTGGATAGAGGATCCATCATATCCTAATTTAACTTTGTCGTGGAATATTATATATGGTAAGATTTATATCAGAAAGTATGTTTATGATTATTTCTTGGAAATGCATCAGGCCACATAAATGCCTTACTTCCATGAACTCGATTTTTGCAGGAAGAGGAAAGATCCAACAGGAGATTCCAAAGTCTTCTAATTATTATATTGCTGTGAGGAATTTGAACTCTGAGGAAGTGGAGGTAATTCCACAAATATTGTCTCACTCTTTACATCAGTAATCTACAATTACCTATGCTCAAAAGTTCTCATAGAACTATGCAGTTGAGTTACTTAATCTAACCATTGGATTTTTCTGACAGACTGATTTGAATTATGAAAATCCTTCTTTAATTTGAGACACAAATTTTCATCAATTTTCTCATTGCTTGCTGCATCAGCTGATAAAGTGATATTGGTCCTTTCATTTTCACCTAAACTTTTCCCAAATGTTTCTGTTTTTTGTTTGACACTTAATGTGCACATCCTGAGACGCCTGATTTCTTCATAACTCTTTATGATTCAGATACAGCTGAACTTCTCATTCAATGCTCTCATCTATGATACAACTCAAGCACATTGCAGATGCTCTTTGGGCAACCGTTTGTGTACATTCGAGCTTTATCTTCTAGGAGAAAATGCTGCTGTCCTATCTTCACCTGGTCCTAATGAGGTAAAACAATAACATCCATTAACTTTATAGTTATCGGCTTCAATTGCTTCTAGTTAGATTGAACTTAACTTCACACCTGCTTTCTTCAATGTCTTTCTCAGGTTAATAATTAGTCCCCCCCCACCCCCCCACCAGGGAAACCTAGTAACAAAAAGTAGAGGCATTTTATTATCCTAATTAGTGTTTCTTTGTGTTTCTTCTTTTTCACTTTAAATTATAGTGAGAGAAATTCTTTTGTTGCAATCATTCTATAAATGGATCAGAGTAGTTCCTACTTGTGATTCTGCTAAGCATGGACAATAATCTTTCAGCTGTTTTTGTCCAGGCAGTTTTCAGTATCATTGTGTTCCTTTCTCCATTTTAAGATTTCAAATATAAGAACTTCACACATTTTTGCTTCTTGCAGGAAACTTCTAACAGTAATTGGTATGTTAAAGTATCCTATGGACCTCGATGGATTACATATTTCGTTGGATCAGGTTTTTCCATTTCCCTTGCATAGCCCTTATTGCATAGAAAGAACAATTAGTCCATCTTTACATTTACCTCTTCTGCAATTTTAGGTGTGATGACCATCCTCATATTATTAGCCTTCAGAATCTGTAAAATTTTCCAGAGTATAGATGGAATAGGATTCCATGCCGGAGGGATGCAATCAGAACGAGCCCCATTGCTTCCAGAAAAGGATGATGAAATCTCAAGCTGGGGTTCATCTTATGATTCTGTATCACATGATGAGGAGGATCTGGAAGAGTGGCTGGCAAAGACTTTTCCTGAAGGAAAGCCTTCAAACGAAGGGGACAGCAACAATACTCGTTGTCTGTGTGTCGTTTGCTTCGAAGCACCAAGAGATTGCTTCTTTCTTCCTTGTGGACATTGTGCTACCTGTTTCACCTGCGGAACAAGGTAAGATATAGCATCAACATCATTGAATATTAAGCTATTCACCGAGCTCATTACTATAATTGAATTCTCACGATTATATCAGGGGCTTGTAAACTAGTGTAAATCAGATTATGGACTCTCCTTGTCACTGCAGGATTGCAGAAGATGCTGGTAGTTGTCCAATATGTCGCAGGAAGATGAAGAAAGTTAGGATGATATTTACAGTTTGAGCAGTTTAATTAAGTAATGGCTCTGCAGCCACTTCCTGATGGTGTAAATTCCAATGCCCCACAGAAGAGCATGATTTTTTTTTTCTCACTGCCTGCATTCGATTCAGACAAGTTTTGTAGAATACAGGACTGCATGAAATTTGTTGCCAAGAGCTCCATAAAGGTTTGATTGAAGGCTTTGCATATTCTTGTAGATAAAAGTTTCTCTGTCGTTTGTCAATATCATGTAAATCTCTTCTTTGTTTCCCCAGGCAGGCTGAACTGGTATCCTCTGTAAATTATACTATTAATTTTTATTTCACCAATTAACTACTAATCAAATTGAAATCAGGTGATGATTGGATAATTCTAAACAGTTCGTTTTTATTCTTGGATAAATTCGTAGGTACCGTAATAATAATAATCATAATCCTGTACCAAGAAGATTGCTAGTTCTCGTTACTGATCACTTCATGCAATTGCCAAGAGAATTGTAGAAGGGTTTTTGGACCCAAGGCTAATGCTGGGTTGAACCCAGATTTAGGAGTAAAACCCAAAGGGCAAAGGCCCAGTACATGCTGAAGTCGAAAGGAGGTGAACCCACGTCCACTATAGAGGAAAAAAACAAACGAACGCATCACAACTCGCAAACCATACTATAAGGCGACATCGGAGGACGCAAGGAATTCCATCCACGTGGACGGCGGAGGTGCCGGAAAGTTGGCAGCCCTAAGACGACCATGCGAGAGACTATGAGAAAAAAGGGAAATACCATTAAATTGTCAAAAAAAACAAAAGGCAGAGAGACATGATGCAGAAGCCAAAAAATCAATCATGGGTTTTCCACACCCTGGAATCCACCACTCTCGCTCTACTCCCTCTCTCTTCTACACTGTCGTAGCTCTTTCTTTCCTCTCCCTCGCCGCCCTCCTCATCTACAAGGTCCTTTCTTTTTTCTTTTTTTTAATACCATTTTGTTTTGATGTAAAAGGTGGTAATAAAAGAGAAATGTTGTAACGGTTTTGTTTCTTTTGGGGGAATTCTATGGAATAGGTGGATGATTTTGCTTCACAAACGAAAACAGTTGCGGGACACAATTTAGAGCCAACGCCATGGCACATTTTCCCCTCAAAAAAATTCACCGGAGAAACCCGACAAGCCCGCACTTACAAAATCATCCAATGCTCCTATCTCACTTGTCGCTACGCCACCAACGACGCCGCTCGACTCTCGGAGGAGCAGACGAAGCAACGCCGCCGTTTCATGTCCTCTCAAGTTTCTGAAAAATGCCCCAACTTTTTCAATTTCATTTACCGTGATCTTGAACCATGGGCCAAAACCCGAATATCAATTAACCACACAATGCAGGCCAAGCAACACGCTGCGTTTCGGGTTGTAATCGTTGAGGGAAGATTGTATGTTGATTTATATTATGCTTGTGTACAGAGTAGATTGATGTTTACAATATGGGGATTGTTACAGCTTCTGAAAAGGTACCCTGGGATGGTTCCTGATGTGGATATGATGTTTGATTGCATGGACAAGCCTACTATTGGTAGAATCGAACATGGGTCTTTTCCGTTGCCCCTGTTCCGGTATTGTACGACTGAGTCCCACTTTGACATCCCTTTTCCTGACTGGTCTTTTTGGGGTTGGTAAGAATCATTCAATCACAAATTTTTTTGTCGGATTGTAATTTGTCTACATTCACTACAAGATCGTGTCCACAATCCATGGTAGAGACTTAAGAGTTGGAAAAAGTTGACTACATGAATAACTCCAAACCTCAATTTACGAAGCCCAAATTGCAGCAAACCTGAGATGACCTATATAACTTAAATTAGTGATAATTCTATATGGATAGAATGTTAAATTGAACAGACGATTTGAAGTATGAATTGTATGAAAATATCTAACAGATGCTAATCTTAACAATATTGCATGCCTGTATGCATATACAAGTTGATTAATTAATAGAATGTGCCTGGTTAGATTTGTTTTACTGATAATGCCATCCATATGATTTGTGTTGAATCACTCGTTCGATTTGACTGTCAAGCTAAGTGTTTTATTTAAAGGTTTCTCTACTTATGTAAAACCTTTATATATGTATTTTGGACAACTATGTCTTTGCAAATGGCGTTGTTTTCATCTATCTGGGAATTTCTATTAGCCTCAGCTACAGATGACGATATAAGAGATGTGATTTACAATTAGTATTAGTGTTGGTTATGATTTGAGTTCTTTTACGTGTCTTTAAGGTAAATGACTTGTCTACAGGCCAGAGACAAATATACAGCCCTGGGATGAGCAGTTCAAAGATATTAAACAGGGTTCACAAGCTGAAAGTTGGACAGGGAGGTTGCCCTATGCATTTTGGAAAGGAAATCCAGATGTCGAAGCTCCAATTCGCCAGGAGCTTATGCAGTGCAATGACTCTAGGCAGTGGGGTGCACAAATTATTCGTCAGGTTGGGTTGAAATTACCATGTGAATGCTTGAATTTCTATTGTAGACATGTTGGGTTGAACGGCCAAAATTATGTGCTTTAAGTGCAATAATGACAAAATAAGTTATTTGATATTGTTGCTTTTTATTGTGCATTGCAGAACTGGGCAGAAGAAGCAAAGGGTGGGTTTGTGCAGTCCAAGCTATCCAATCAGTGTAAGCATCGGTGAGTAATCTTCTTCGAGTGATCTTACCTGCAGAGCAGATATTTCAGTTGTTCTTATTGTGTCTCATATGGTAGATCATCAAATTTAAAGGTTGCAAATTTAGATTTGTAGTCCTAGCATTTGCAGTTTGCAATTTCGATTTGAAGTAAGTACCACTGCGCCCGCCCTCTTTCACCCACCAATTTTCTCTTATTTTTCTGTCATTGAGTGAAACTCTGTCGAACTTTGTAACTTTATAATTCTATCCACTTGTATTGCATTCCCTTTCTGGGGCTAATTTGAATAAGGGCTGCATATATTAACGGAATTTAGGAATGTTAGTGCTGAGGCTCAAAAAGTGCATCATTCAGTGTTTTAAATGTAATGTACTGACTTTTTTTTTTGCCCTTTTTTCTGCAGTTATAAAATCTATGCTGAAGGCTATGCTTGGTCTGTAAGCTTAAAATATATCCTATCTTGTGGTTCTCTTGCTCTATTAATTTCCCCACAATATGAAGATTTCTTTGCTCGTGGTCTCATTCCGAAGTTGAACTACTGGCCTGGCTCTCCTATTGATTTATGTCACTCCATAAAGTTTGCTGTTGATTGGGGTAATACAAACCCATCAGAGGTATGATCTTTTGGCCCACAAAATGGCAAGAAGCAAGAACTGATATCAGTCATGCTGCAGTAATTTTAATTCTCATTTGTTCGGTTAGCTGAATCTAGATTTCTGGCTTCCGATTCTACACATAACATTAATATCAATACTAAGAGAAAATATCTATGAGTATAATCAATAGTCAATAGCAATCAATTTTCAATGACCTTATTACCTTTTTGCAAGAAGAAGCTTGTTATCGTGCCTTTTCTTTCTTTCTGATAAATTTGGCTTAGCAGGCTGAGGCAATTGGAAAAAGAGGGCAACAACTCATGGAAAGTTTAAGCATGGATCGAGTCTACGATTATATGTTTCACCTCATCTCAGAATACTCAAAGCTGCAAGACTTCAAGCCTGTCCCACCATCATCAGCTCAGGAAGTATGCGAGGAATCCCTACTTTGCTTGGCGGAACCAAAGCAGAAGGAATACCTTAAAAGAGCAGCTGCTGTCGGTTCACCAACACCTCCATGCAGCCTCGCCAAGCCTCCCAATAGTAATTTTTTCAATATTTTGACTGAACATAAGAAGAAAATTATACAACATGTGAAAGATATGGAGATGCGAAATGCAGTGAGACATACGATCTAGACTAGAATATATATGTAGTTGCCATGTATACAGAAATTTTGTAGCGTTAAGGGTCCCTTGTAGATCTCGCGTTTTCTTATAAATACCATATAGAATCAGTTCACTTTAGTAATTGACTACTACGACAAGGCAAAGTAAATAGCTCCATTTGGTGTTTATACGGCAACATAGACTACGAAGAAAAGCTATTTAAACATGGAAGGTGGAATGGCATACGTTGTCAACAAATGATTAGACGCATGACAATCACACTTTGCAGGGAGAGACAGACACAAATCGTCGTTTTCCCCACCATTTGTTTCTGCCACTGCCCAACCTGACAGTTGTAACATCCTCCTAACTGTTCAGATAGTCCTTTTGAGCAATGGCAAACATAAATTCGTACCGTGAGAGTGAGACAAAGGTGGTAAATTGTTTCAGCCCTCACATTAGATTTTCCAGTTGGTTCCTTTGTCTTGTTGTTTGTGGCCGTCCATTTAATAATTGCCTTTGAATTCCCAAGAAAAAAAAAATCATATTTTGACTTCATAATAAGTTTGAATGTTGTAAGGCCACCACCAAAGTTCATATTCAACGATTGTGAATAGACCCATTGCATTTAGAAACAAAGGGTAACGTTAGTTACAACTTAGATCACCCCATGGGTTTTCGATTTTGCACGTAATAATATATACAAGTATGACACTTTCAGTGCAGGTTTCGCTGGCAGTACAGTTGTAATTTCGAAACAATTTAATTAGTCAATTATCTTATCTTATTTGTCATTAAGACACGAGGAAAAAAGATCTTGATCAAGTCAAAGTAAACTCCTCTTATAGACGAGAAAAATGAGAAAAAAAAAAGGGGTATGGTGACTTCAGCCAACGATGAAAGGTTAACTAATAATACATGCATTTTGTTCTCTTAACTATTTTTTTTTAAGTCTTAATATTTTAAAAAACTTTAAAACTATTCAAAAAAAATAAATATATCTTTATTATTCTATTCTATTTAATAAAATATTTTTATTTTTATTTTAAATTAAATAACTTCTTTAATATTAATAATTAATTAATTAATATTAATTAAAATATTATTTATTTTTTTATATAACATGAAATTAATTTGAAGGATAAAAGGATAATTTGATCATATTATCATATCACATTACCATATTACATCATTATCTATTATAATATGTTAACATATTTTATCATAAAAAATAAAATAAAAAATGATGTTTTGATTAATGATGATTAATCAATGGTTAATCATAAAACTTATTTGATTCAAAATAAAAATATACACACTTGATTAAACACAATAAAAGAATAAAAATCTATTTAATTTTTTTCTTATACATATATTATGCATATTTATATTATTATATTTTGGTCTATACATACAAATAGCCTTGTCCTAAAATTAAAAAAAGAAACCATTACCAAATTCATAATTATATTACAAGGGATAAATATAAAAATATTTATAAAATAATAATTTAATTGAGGTCTTAAAACAAATTAATCTTAGTACATGAGATTCAAATTTTATTTTTTAAATAAAAATTATATATTAATTAATAAATTAAATGTTTTGATGTAATCATCAATATTTTTAAATTACAGTAAAAAAAAATGAAGAAATTGGGATGAAGAACACCGCGTCCACGTGACGGTGTAAATACAAAATCAATTGGTCGCCTTTATTTATTGCAAACTTTTATCAACGCGTACCTTTGTGTGTTTTTTTTTTTAAATCTTTCACTTAACAATCAATCCCTTCATGTTTAACTCATGCCTACCAAACTTGTTTACACTTATTTTATTCATTCGATGGAAGCTATCATAAATAATAATCACGTTCATAGATGCTTTCAGATGTATTAATTAATTTCTTTTCTCGCAAATCCCACAGCCCAATTTAATAAGAAATGATAACCCACTAAGCAATTATTGTCTCAATTCTTTTTTTAAAAAAAAGTGATTTATATTTTTTTTTCATTATTAATGTATATACAGATTTTAAATTGCATAATAAAGGGTAATAAATTCTATATTTGATTGGATTCATCTGGCAGAGCATCAAAAATTTTGGCAGTGTTTGAAAATTGAAGCATAAGTAAAGAGCAAGACCGACCAAATAACGGTGATGGAGAAATAATGTAACATCTTTTTATTGACACGGGGTGGGTTTTAGACCCCACAAATTGGGACCATTGCCTGCTTTAACTTCCTTGAACCAACTTTACACCAAAAAATACGCCTTAGGGTAAAAATGAAATTTTGTGAATATTTTTCGATTATTGATTTAATTCCCTAATCATGTTTTCATTTTATTTTTTTTGAATTTCAATGTCATACACCCAATAAATCCTATAAAAAAACAAGTCAAGTCAAGTAGTAATGTTGTCTAAACTGAAGAGTTATTTCCCAAATAAGAGTAAATTTTTATTTTCAAAGGAAAGTGCTTTTTAAAATTTATCTTTTATTATGCAAGAATGTATTATTTAAAGAAAAGAAAGACTTAATCCTAGCAATTAAGCAACCACCATGCGCTGACGAAGGCTGAAAACCCAGGTAGGAAGGGATCGGCCAGTGATGGAAAGCCAGACCGACTTGCGGTCATTGTCATGAAAGCATTGCGATTATACCCACGTGAAGCCATGGGGAAAGCGGATTTCCACGTCTCAGCAAGCATCTGCCTGCTTGCTAGCCTTTGGAAGTTGATAAGGCGAGACCCCAACATTTGGGGAAAGGGAAAGCCTTCGGGCTCAGGGGTCGGGGTTGTGCTAATTACAAAATTATTAAGAATTTTTATTTTCTTATGAATTTAAAACTAGGAAAATAGGGAAAAAAATGAAGGTTTAATTTCTTATTTGGTGGATTGTTCAGATTCAAATGTGAACAAGGTGATTACTTAATTTATGTCACCAACAGCTGTTCCCTAATGCTTAAAGCCTTTCGTCTTTTCATTTTGCACCATCTAATATAACAAAGAAGACATTTTCTCTTCTTTTCTTTTCGTCAGTGGGAAACAACAGAGTAGGCTTTAGAGCTGCAAGGCAGGGAAGCTATTAGATAAAAATAAAATCTTGACCAAAAGCTGGACATCAACAGAGTGAAAGCTCTGCTCCATTCTCATCAGATACTTCCAATATAAAAATATGGAAACAAACAAACAATACTAAACCAAACCCACTTAAGCCTTTCAATAATACAATCTGGTATCCCTATATATAGCCCCCCAGAAAACCAGAGACCCTGGAAGCCGTTCCAACCAACAACTTCTTTCATTCTTGGTCAGAAAAACAGAGCTCATTGATGGGGAGTTATAGAATGTGTGTCTGCTTTACTAGGAAGTTCAAAGTCACCGAGGCAGCACCGCCAACGGACGTTAAAGATGCATTCAATAAGTATGCTGAAGGTGGGCTCCACATGACGGCGGAGCAGCTGCATAGGTTCTTGATAGATGTGCAGGGGCAAGGCGGCGCAACGGTGGAGGAAGCAGAGGTGATTGTGCAGCAGGTGCTCCAAAAACGACATCATATGGCTAAGTTCAGGAAACACACCCTAACACTTGACGATTTCCATCATTACTTGTTTTCAGCAGATCTAAATCGGCCTATTGGTGATCAGGTGCTTTGTATTCTTTTTCTTTCTTCTTTTTGATGATTTCCATTTTTACTCTGTTTCTTCATGTTCTGTTTCTTTTGAGGTTCTTAAACTCTTATCGTTTATGGAATTTTATTGGTTGTGGACTTTTCCCCCTTTTTTGGTATGTTAAAGGTTGGATTTTTGACGCTGGTGGAGGTTGATTTTGATACTTTTGATGTGCTCCAAAAGTTGGCTTTGTTCTTTCTTTGTTCGGGAAGCAAATGGACTGCTCATAAAAACTATCAAAATTCGTCTTTGATTTTTGTTGTTTGAACAAGTTGTTCTCTTTAAGCATATTGATGAGGGTTTTCAAATTTGATCCAATATATAGGAAAAGGTTATAATTTTTCAGAGAATATTGAGGAATGTTCTTTATCTAATCTTTTTCTTGTTGCTTGATTAATGCCATTGTACTCAAATCACATTCCAAAACTTGCTAGGAAATTTTTTGTGGATTGTGGGGCCATTTTTGACATCTAATGGAATCTTTAAATTCAGGTCCACCATGACATGAGAGCTCCTTTGTCCCATTATTTCATATACACTGGCCACAATTCATATTTGACTGGAAATCAGCTCAGCAGTGACTGTAGCGATGTCCCAATCATAAAGGCGCTGAAGAGAGGTGTGAGGGTATTGGAGCTTGATATATGGCCAAATTCCACAAAAGATGATGTGCATGTTCTACATGGAAGGTAAAATATTTCTAATTTCCTTGTTGTTTGGATTGTGATGTAGAAGTGCACTCATCGTGTTTTCAATGTGGGAATGTCTTTATAGAACTATGTCGATTTTCTTTCTTTCGATAGCGACTTAAGATGGTAATAGGAACAACTTAGAAATCATTCATTTATGAGAGCAAATGTATGCCTTTCTAGCATTGATTAGTTGGCATGGATTGATTTATAATCGAGCTTTTTACAAATGCAATGTTACTTTTGATAACCTAGTATTTTATTTACTTAGTTCAATGCGGAGCTCAGTTGCTCCTTTTTCTGTTGATCCCCATATCTTAAAGAAGTTGACCATTGCTTCTACTCTGTCAGTCAGTCAGATATCCATTTCCTCTGCATGGGAAGTCCATGATTTGTAAAGTATTTTAGGAGACCAAGTCCATCAAGCAATGAGGTAGTTTTGAGAGATCTTGGCGGTTGACTTTTAGCCAAATTAGGCTTCTTTTCCTTGGAGGAAGTAATTAAGGTGGATGTTTAAATTGTTGTTTCTTTAGATGAACTCATTGTTAACAGCTCCTGAATACAAGATAAATGGTAAAGGCAACTAACCTGATTGTCTCTACCCTACAGGGCAAACTTAGAAGCTTAATTTTAGAAGTTATAACTGTTAAGCATGCTGATCTTATGTCTTTGTGTTTGTTCATCAATGAATCAATCCCTATTTAGATCCATGTTCAGGAAGCTTTAATTGGGCTACCATTAAACCTTGAAACTTTGATTGAATTGGGAGTAAAAGAAAGAAAGAATGTCTATTTGTAGATATTGATCCAGGTTTGAGTATCTATTTAATATCAAAGTGGAAAAAATCATTGAGTAGAGGAGAGGCAATGAATTGGCATTTATTCCTTCTTTGTCTGCAGCCCTTCTCATTTGATTTTTACTTACATCAGGAGTCAGTTCAATTGTTTTTATTTTTGTTTTGTTTCTGCTTCCTGAGCATTCTTTGAATTGTCTGTTTATGAATGTAGGACTTTGACAACTCCTGTTGAACTCATTAAATGTTTGAAATCCATTAAAGAACATGCTTTTAGTGTATCCCCGTATCCGGTTGTAATTACTCTTGAAGACCACCTGACTTCAGATCTTCAGGCAAAAGTTGCTCAGGTACTTTATGAAATTCTGTATCTTTCAGTTGGCAATTGTGCTTGCAACCACCTGTGACTGATGTGAAAATAATATCATGGTAGATGCTTACTCAAACATTTGGAAAAATGCTGTTTTGTCCTGAATCTGAATGTTTAAAAGAATTCCCTACACCAGAGGATCTGAAGTATCGGATCATTATTTCAACCAAACCTCCCAAAGAGTACCTTGAAGCTCAGAGGAATAAGGGCAAAATGAATAATTCACAGAAGGGGAAGGATTCTGATGATGATGTTTGGGGAAAAGAACCAGCAGAGCATACAGCTGATCTAGAAGATGAGAAGGTGTGGTTGGAAATGAATTGAATTACACATTGGTTTGGTTTATCCTTAATATGTACCTTTTATTAACGATGATGAGGAATCCTTTAAAGGTGCACCTAGATATCTGCACCATCTTCCAAAGACTTATGTATTTTGGTAGTCACATTGAAGTTTCCTCTATCCTTTACAGACTGATAGTGATGCAAGTGAGAACAATCAGGATGATGAAGACACAGATTCATTTGAACCTGATTTACACCCTTCTGAAGCACATCTCTACAAGCGCCTTATTGCCATTCATGCTGGCAAACCCAAGGGTGGGTTGAAGGCTGCTCTTAAAGTTGAACTTGATAAAGTTAGGCGCCTTAGTCTGAGTGAACAAGCCCTTGAAAAGGCTACAATGTCTCATGGGACAGACGTTGTGAGGTAATTATTTGTATTAGTTTCTAATCACACATTCCTGGCATGATGTGCTGCATATGTAAAATCTGATTGATTTTTCTGCTGTAACTTTTTTGCAATTCCCATTTTTCTAATCCTCAATATCATTGTATTTAGATTTACCCAGAAGAATTTCCTGAGAATATATCCTAAGGGTACTCGCTTTAACTCCTCCAACTACAAGCCACTGATTGGTTGGATGCACGGAGCTCAAATGGTTGCCTTTAACATGCAGGTTTTGTTTCTTTAGTTGTTTCAGTTGCCCAAATCATAGTATTTAAATGTTCTACACTGAAAGTAATGCCTCCGAATCTTGCCTCAAGTTGCTGGATTAGTCTAGATCATTGTTTCTAGATTTGTGATATAGTTCATAAACTTCAGGCTGAAGGTAAGTAAGCTACTAGTATTTCACTGAAGTCCCTCAGTGACATGACTAAGTGTATGTATTTGGTCTCATTCATAATAGAAAATTAGATGTTAAAGAGAATAGGGAGAAGACTTTTTTTGGGGGGGGACAGGGGATGGAGGGATGATATCGCAATATCTTCATCGGCTCATCTCAAATGGCATTATTTTCCTTCCCCTTAGGAATGAGGTGAAGGATGTGGTCACAGGTGGTAAGATAGTCGCTTGTAGGGATAGAAGGGTTTAACCTTTGTATGCATTTCATATAGATTTTAGTTATGCATGTGTTTATAGAGACTAAAAGAAAAACATACCTGCCTGAAGGTGTTTTTTAGCATTAAGTCACCAAAGTGAGCACTTTGAATTAGATCATGCTATAAATATTAAGAGATTTTTTGTTCAATGCTATTTTTCCTTCTCAATTTGAATGCAAAATCCGATGTTATGACCATAATTTGAATGACATGGTTTGATAGTGCACTTTATGCATCCAACCAACAGGGTTCTGGTCTAATTGCAGGGATATGGTAGATCTCTTTGGTTGATGCATGGGATGTTTAGATCTAATGGAGGCTGCGGTTATGTGAAAAAGCCTGAGTTTCTTACGAATGTGGATCCAGATGGTCAAGTGTTTGATCCTAAAGCTAAGTTACCTGTGAAGAAAACTTTAAAGGTGAGCATTATGCTACATTAACAGTTTCTCATCCTTCTTGGCATCCTTTACTGAATCCTTTGTTGTCTACTTGACAGGTGAAAGTCTATATGGGAGATGGGTGGCATTTAGATTTTAAACAAACGCACTTTGACTTGTATTCCCCACCTGACTTCTATACCAGGGTAAGCTGATTTGCACCCGTAGACCGAGATATTAATTGTTTGTGTTTTCATGTATTTGAACTTCTGAGTAATCTAGAACTTGTTTATTTCAAATCAAGTTCTAATATGTTTCACATTTTGAATTTAAAAGCCAAACTTCTAGTGAACTGCCCAACAACAAAGTAGTTTAATGACCCTGCTGCATATCAACTCTGAATTTTTAATGCAGGTTGGCATAGCAGGAGTGCCAGCTGATGAAATAATGAAGAAAACAAAGATGAAAGAAGATGACTGGACGCCTGTTTGGGATGAAGAATTTACATTTCCATTGACTGTTCCTGAATTGGCTTTGCTCCGAATTGAGGTCCATGAATATGACATGTCTGAGAAGGATGATTTTGCAGGTCAAACTTGTTTGCCAGTCTCTGAATTGAAACCAGGGATTCGGGCAGTTCCCCTCTTTGATCGCAAGGGACAGAAGTTAAACTCTGTAAGACTTCTCATGCGATTTGAGTTCGTCTGAGACTATGAAGAGATGTTTTGACTGGTGTATTTAGTCTTGTTGAGGTTTCACTATCGGATGTCCGTTCTATTCCTGTAACATAATCTTTTGTTTTCCAATTGTTCTCTGTGCATTATTTATTCTGTTTTGCGGTGTAGCAATGATCTTAATTTTTTGTTAACAGTATTTCAGAACAATGTTCCACATAGATATACAGGTTAAGTTATTTCCCTGTGCCCCCTTTGGTGCACACCAGCTTCATTACAATATCAGCTTCACCAATTTATCTTCAACCATGATTATCCATGCTTAAGTTCCCACCTAACTGTGATTTCAGTTTTGAAGTCATGATTAGTTATCCATAGCAATGTTACTTGCCTCTCAAGTACCAAATAGCAGGCAAAATAGATCCACCCTCCAATGCTATTACAAACACTTGTTCTCATTAAAGAAGGTTATGCGAACTTGTTGAAATCTCAGATCAATGGGATAGCCTTTGGCAAGTACAACTAGGCCTGTTGGGAAGAATGACATGAACTCCTATAAAGTCAATGTTGCCTTGCCACTTTGGTTTGGAGGATGAAGCTGGGTTTTGTTGGAATCCAAATGACCCAAACTCCAAACCTGGAAGCCGGTCACTTTCAATGGGGTTGTTAAGATAGGATATTTCTTGCTCCTTTTCATCTTAACTTTTTAGATTTAATGTCCCAAATTCCAATAACAAGATATCTGTTTACCAAAGATCAGAACTCTTATCTTTTTCCTTGTAAAATATACCTACATGCATAAAACTAACAACCAAATACATATAGATTGACTGAACCATCTTTTAACAACTAAAAACCCTTTTTAATGGTACAATGGATCATTTTAACTTAAAACAAATTAACCCAGTTTCATTTATAAACAGACTTACTAATTTGAGTCTTCAATCTCAAATATTTAAGTTACCTTCATAGTTTTAACTTAATAAATATAAAGCTAATAAGCATTCTGGATTATAAGTGTGAACGTCTAAATACAAAGGTTAACCTTAGAAATTACAGCTTTTAATGAAGATGGGGTCAGAACTTACCACAAAGAATGCTACTATGCTGTTATCAAACCAATTAATTGGGCAAGGAACAGTTCCGAAAGCCATGAAGAAGGTTTAAAACAAACTAAAAGGCAAGTCAGTCCAGACCAACAATTTTAAAAAAATGAAAGAAGTGAAATGTACAAAAGAAACAAATGGAAGCTGGTCAATGTAGAGGTTCATGACAAAGATGACTAATTATTATTATTTTACTTTACTAAGAATATTAAATTACTGAGACATTGACTGTCTGGTTTATGTGTACAGCAGCGTTATTCACGTGCAAATGGGTCCATCTCCTCCCCACTCCACTCCTCTCCACCTGCCCTTCTGCAACTGCTATTAATTCCTCTGCGCTTTGCTATGCTCATCCTGCTGATGTCATTACCCCAAACCCAAAAGCTGATTGCAGGAAAAGAAAAAAAAAACATTTCCAGAAACATTGATTGATTCAATAATTAGAAGTAATCAATGTTACATTAGACAGGGTGGGGATGGGATACGAAACATCCCCCTCCAAATTAATAATAATTATTTACAAAAATTTTAATTTTAAATAAATTTTTTAATAAAATTTTAATATTTTATTTTACATGACTGCCGAATACCTTTCACTTACAAAAGTTAAACCAATTTCTTTTAATTTCTTTTAATTTCATAAATTTTGTCATTTCTTTTCTTATAATTCAAATTTGTCTCAACTTTTAACTAAGATAATATCTTTGGAACCATAAGCATTTGAAATGCAATAATATCTAATAAAAAATGGTATTTTTATGCATTCAATCTTTATTGATGTCAATGCATAATAAAAATAGTAATGTCAATACTTATGATTTTTGAGAAATTTTAGCTGATTTGTTAGTAGTATTTTTTGTATATAATATCTAAAAAAAATTTTAAATTATTTAAAAAAATTTAAATAAATCTTCATTCTTTTATTACTATCGATCATGTTTTTATATTTTTATTTTAAACTAAATAAACTCTTATATTTTTTATTTTGAATAAAATAAATCTTCATAATTAATGAATAACTTAATCAAAATATCACTTTTCATTTTACGTTATGTGATGCTGACTTGACATACTAACATATCATAATCGATGATAACGTGACATATTGATATATTATAATTGATAATAATGTGACATAATGGCATAGTCATATAGTATTTTCACCTTCCGTACCAGCATCACATCATTACCATGTGAATATAAAATAATAAGTGGTATTTTGATTAAAAATAATTAGTCAATTATTACTTATAAAGACTTGATTAACTTAAAATAAAAGTATAGAGACTTCACTAAACATAATAAAAGAATAAGAAGATGTTTGAATTTTCTTAAATAGTTCAAAGATTTTTTTGAACATTATGCCTTTTTTTAAAAATGTATTTGTAAAGTGTAGATGTACTTCTTGAGAGAAGAAAGAAGCGGAAATAATAGAGTAACAATTTGGCCACTAATGATACACTTGCTCTTACTATTAACTATTGCAAAAACATTCTCTTTACCACTTTCATATCCGAATAGAAATCTTCTATCTCACTTGGTATTGTGCATTTTTTTACTATCGATTAAAAATCGTAACTCTTAAACTCTAAATCTTAAACTTTATCCACGCTTTTATGCTATCAACTAAAAACCTTAACTATTAAGGCTTCTAAATCGTAAACCCTAAATCTAAACAGTAAACCTTACACTTTAATATGACACTTTTCTGTTATCAACTAAAAACACTAATTCCTAAGTCTCTTAAATCTAAAATCTTAAACTTTATATCTTATTATGAGAAATTTATTGAACATTTAATATAAAATTATGAAAAAAAAAATGAAACGAGACACCAAATGAATAAAAGAATTTATAGTCTTCAGATTTATTCATGGTATATCTATATGTCATTTTGCAGGCTATTCACCTTAACATGCAAAAAAAATAAAATTAATTGTTGGGTCAATTCTGATCCCACACATACAAATACAAGGTAAAGAGGCTTAGTTTGGTTTTGTAATTTTAAAAATTAGTATAAATATTGAATTAAAGATATTATCCATTCTATTTTCTAAAAAAGAGTTACCGATTTTGGATTCGATCCTGACGAGTAATGCAACATTTTGGAATTGATTCCTTTATGGGTCTTTTAAAATTCATTCGTAAGGGAAAAAGGATTCTCTCTTACTGTGTGAAAATATGGAAAAATAAAAAAAATAAATCAATAAGCCTTTGGCATATTCTGAACATGGACAAACTTGACAAGCTTTTCCTGAGAAAAAGATAAACAAATAAAAAGCAGATGTAAACTACAAATGTGAAAAGAGGGCTTGACTGAAAACACAGAAAGAATCGACCACTTAAAGGACTAATTTATACATCCACGACTATCACAGATGATTCTTGCTTCTAAACAAGTACAACAACATTTATCAAAGATATCTGCTTCCCAATTTTTTTTTCCCTATGATGTTTGCATGTGAGAATGAAATCCACTTTCCAGGAATGACTCATGGCAGTAAAACAAAGAAGGCCGGAATTTGTTGAATATATCTGATATATAAAGAGGGTTGGAGATATCACCTGACAAAATCATCAGCAATCAATTATATTCCGAGAAAGTTCGAAAGAAAAGAAAAGAAAAAGATATACCACTACTCCTTACTCTTTAGCACTTGAAAGTTTTATGTTTTGTTTTGATCTGTGACCCTGCGAGGGCCGGTTTCGCGAGGCTATTTTTGATGGGGCACATTGGAAATTATGGCTTGTGCATTTGTTTTCCTAAGAAATTCGGGACCACTGAGGCAGGGCCGCCAGTGGATGTGAAGGAGGTGTTCATGGAGCACGCGGGAGGGGGTGCCTCCATGACGATGGAGCAGCTGAGGCGGTTCTTGGTGGAGGTTCAAGGTGATGCTGGAGTTTCCATTGAAGATGCGGAGAGGATTGTGGAGGAAGTTCTTCAGAGGAGGCATTATAATGTAAAGTTCACAAAAAAGGCTTTAAGTCTTGAAGATTTTCATTTTTACTTATTCTCTGTGGATCTCAACCCTTCTCTCCTTAATCAGGTACAATCAGTTTGCTTATCTCTTGGTGGCAAGTTATATATATTTGTCTGGAGAGAAAAATCGAAATACATTTCAACGTTTAACAAAGATTATATGGTACATTCAGGTTCATCAAGATATGACTGCTCCTCTCTCCCATTACTTCATATATACTGGTCACAATTCATATTTGACTGGAAACCAAATCAGCAGTGATTGCAGCGATGTTCCAATCATAAAGGCACTAAAGAGAGGTTTAAGAGTGGTGGAGCTTGATTTATGGCCAAATTCTACAAAAGATGATGTGCTTGTCCTTCATGGATGGTATGTGCATATTCTGTCCGAAGTCCAAAAAAAAATAAATTCTCAACAGAATTTGCTTAATTAAAGAAACCTTGATAGATTCTTGTAATTTCCCAGTTTTTCTTTTCTGTTGATGAATTTCGATTATATGTGCGTGTATGAATTGCAGGACCTTGACAACTCCCGTGGAGCTGATTAAATGTTTGAAATCCATTAAAGAGCATGCTTTTTCTGCTTCTCCGTACCCTGTGATAATTACTTTTGAAGACCATCTTACCCCAGATCTTCAAGCTAAAGTAGCTCAGGTTTGTTGTCAATCTTCTTCAATGCCACCGCTCTTTCCTGGAATTATACATTTCTAATGCTCCTATACCATTTTTTTTGGTCTATAGATGGTGACGCAAACATTTGGAAACATGTTGTTCTATCCTGATTCTGATTGTGTGAGAGAATTCCCTTCCCCGGAAGAACTGAAATATCGAATTATCATATCAACTAAACCTCCGAAGGAATACCTTGAAGATAAAAGCTTATCAAGCAGAAGAAGTAACTCTGCCAGAGAAAAAGATTCTGATGAAGATGCATGGGGGAGAATGTCACCAGACCTCACAAATGATGATGAGAAGGTCAGCTGAAAAAAAAAAACACTTATTCCGCTTTTCTTATTTCTGCTATTTTAGGGTTTAAAAATGTTTTGCCCTGTTCTGCTGCAGAGTGACTGTGATACAAGTTCACATAGTCTATGTGATGGTGACAATGAAGCCTATGATCGTCTATTGCACCCAC